AGCCAAGGACGCTCATGGTCCAATCCTGCTCACACTGCCACTCCCTCTCTGCTCCTGCCCACACTCTGCAGGAACTCCTGGCTTTTCTATTGGATGGTTTATACGAGGATTTGAACTGGGTGATGTGCAAGCCGTACATCGAAACCAAGGACGCTCATGGTGCACCCCACCTTCCTCACACTGTCACTCCTCCACACCCCCTCTGCTCCCACCACCCCTCAGGAGCTGCTGGCTTTCCTCTTAAATAACCTGCACGAGGATCTGAACAGGGTGATGCGCAAGCCGTACATTGAAGCCACAGACGCTACTGGCGCCCGTCTTCCTCACACGCCCACCCCTTTCCACCCTCTCTGCCCCCCTGCCCTTCTACCCCCGACCCCTCACAGGAGCTGCTGGCTTTCCTCTTAGATGGCCTGCATGAGGACCACCCTTACTCCCCTCGTTCTCCTCTCCCTCACCCACCCCTCCTCTCACACTCACAGGAGCTCCTGGCATTCCTATTGGACGGGCTACACGAGGACCTGAACAGGGTGATGCGCAAGCCGTACATTGAAGCCAAGGACGCCGATGGGCGGCCGGACGAGGAGGTGGCGCGGGAGAACTGGGAGAACCACAAAGCGAGAAACGACTCCATCATCGTTGACAAGTTCCAGGTGTGTAACCATGTGGTAACCTGGCTGTAAACCGTGTGGTAACCTGGCTGTAACCGTGTAGTAACCAGGCAGGTTGGTTGGTCTGAGTCCGGACGAGGAGGTGGCGCGGGAGAACTGGGAGAACCACAAAGCGCGAAACGACTCCATCATCGTTGACAAATTCCAGGTGGGTCACCGTGTGGTAACCAGGTGATGATTATGTGGTAACCAGGTGGTGATTATGTGGTAACCAGGTGATGATTATGTGGTAACCAGGTGATGTTTATGTGGTAACCAGGTGATCGGCCTCCCTGTTCTAATCGGGAGTACCACAAGGCGAGGAACGACTCCATCATCGTTGACAGGTTCCAGGTGAATGTGCTGGTAACCATGTGGTAACCCGTTATTAAATGGTTACTAGGTGATATGTAACATGAAACTGGTGCATTCCGGTCATAAAACTCCAAACTCCAACGTCGTTTTCCCATCGTTCTTCCACCCCACAACCCCCTCCCCCCAGGGTCAATACAAGTCAACGCTGGTGTGTCCACACTGCAAGAAGGTCTCGGTCACATTCGATCCCTTCATGTACCTCTCGCTGCCGCTGCCCTCCAAGGCCACGCGCTCGCTGCACCTCTCGCTGCTCTCGTCCTTTGGCGACCAGCCCCCCCGGGCGCTCACTGTCACGGTGCCACGCACAGGGAGGATTTTGGACCTGCAGAGAGCACTGGCTGAGGTGTGCCAACTGCCTCCAGGGGAGAGACTGCACGTTGCTGAGGTGAGCTTTTTCCCCCGCTCTCGCCTCTAGGGACCACCTTCCGTGCACTCACTGTCACGGTGCCGCGTACAGGCAGGATTCTGGACCTGCAGAGGGCGTTAGCTGAGGCGTGCCAACTGCCTGCTGGAGAGGTTGCTGGCCTACTGCGTGTGGCCTAGGCCAGCAACCTCTCTAGGAAAGAAAAGGGGCGTGCTAGCTGCCTGCTGGAGAGAGACTGTACGTGGCTGAGGTGAGGTCTTGCTGAGGTGTGCTGCTGTTGAGGTGAGCTGTTGCTCTCTGTTGGAGGGGGTAGTGAGGGGAAGGGGATGTTGTCCATTGAAGACTTAGACAGGTTGCTGGCTGGCCTACCAAGTGTACTTTACTTCCCTCTCTAAACTTCTTCCACACTACCCCTCCTTCCCTCTCTCTCCCCCATCACATCACATCCCCCCCCCCCCTCGCTCCCCACTCTCCCTTTCCATTTGCACTGCACACACACACCAGATCTACAACAACAACCGCATCTTCCGCTCGTTCCCCCCGCTGGAGAAAATCTCGCCCATTAAGGACCGACACAGGCTCGTGGCTTACTGAAGGAGATCTCCTCTCACCTCCCATATCCTTCCCCCCCGCACCCGTTTCTCTCTTGCCCGCCCTCCGCTTCCCTCTCAGATCTACAATAATCGCATCTTCCGCGCGTTCCCACCGCTGGAGCAGATCTCGTCCATTGAGGACCGAGACAGGCTCGTGGCTTACCGCGTGCCGCGGGTGTGTGAATCCCCCGTTATAGTCACACAGCGAATTAAGGAAGTGTGAGTGTGCTTTGGGAGGGGAGGAGGGAGGTGGGTAAGGAGGAAGGGGGGAGGGGGGTAGGGGGGTGGGGGGTAGAGGTAGGAATTCGGGTCCAATAAAGGGTGAGTGTCAGCGAGGAGGAATATGTCTTTGTGATTTCCTCCCCCTCTCCGTCGCTCCCTCCTTCCCAGTCTCTGGCCCAATCTCGATGCTTTCTTCTCTTGACAGTTCCACAGTTACAAAACCATTTCCTTCGGCCGCTTCTTGGCCCCCCTGTCCTCCTCCCCTCTGCTCATCCCGTCCCCTCCTCTCCTCTCCTCCTCTCTCCTCCTCCCCTCTCTCCTCCTCCCCTCTCCACTTCCCCTCTCGTCCTCCCCTCTCCCCACCTGTCAACTACCCCCATTCCCCCTTGCAGCTCCACACTCACAAACATTATCTTCTGGCGGCTTGCCGCCCTGCTACTCCTCCCCATCATCCTCCCCACTCTCCTCCCTTCTCTCCTCCCCATTATCCTCCCCACTCCTCCTTTCCCACATCCCCTCTTTTCTCCCCTCTCTTCCCTGCCCTCTTTTCTCCTTTCTCTTTCCTGTGGCTCTCTTCTCTTTTCCTTTTTCCAACGGATCCCCTCTCCTATCCGCAGCTCCACAGTAACCAACGATTTCTTCTGGCGCCTGCACGGCGCGCCTCTCCTCCTCCCGGTCTCCCGCTTTGACATTCGTTCCGGCGCCGACCTTTACCGCCATGTGCGCACTGCCCTGAAGCCCTTCCTGCGACCAGGGGTATCCGAGACCAAGACCTCCCTCTCTCTCTCCCCTGCTGGGGACAGTGCTGCATCTCCAGCCGATGCCGCTTCTCCTGCTGCTGCAGCTGCTGCTGATGGTTGTGTTGTTGCTGGTGGCACAGCTGAAAGCGATGGTGCTGGTGCCAGTGGTGCTTGTGTGAGCGTTGGTGGTGCAGCTGGTGATGGTGGTGCTGGTAGTGTTGGTGCAGACGGCACAGGGGACAGGGGTGTGCTGGGGAAGAATGATCCTATGGACGAATCATTAGGGAGGGATGCCAATACTGGTGATGCATCAGCTGGCGGTGAGGAGGGTGAGGGGGAGAATGGGGCGACTGCGAAGGGATCTGCAGGGGCTGAGGATGCTGCGGGGCAGGGGGGAAGAGAGGGACAGGCGGCAGCAGCAGACGAGCCGCCGTTTTTGCTGTCTGTCACGCGAGCGCATGTTGAGACTGCTGCTGATGCTATTCGGATTCCTGATGGTACTGATTTGCCCAAGGGATTCACTCCAGATATGCTTTCCAAGGATGGACTCGCGCTGCTTCTGGATTGGTCGGTCGATGGGCTCAAGGAGTTTTACGATGTCGGGCAGCTTGAGGAGCTGCCCGAAGTGAGCTCGGGCAGTGCGGGGCTGCCCATGAAGAACAAGCGGCAGGAGGGAGTGACGCTTTTCTCGTGCCTGGATGCGTTCATCAAAGAGGAACCATTGGGCCCTGATGATATGTGGTGAGTAGTTCTTTTCATCACTTTGCATTCAGCGGTGTTTTTTTTGTTGTTGTTGTTTTTTTTTTCCCCCGTTCGTTGGGATTCCTTACGCATTTTACTGCTTTTATGTCCGTGGTGCCACACTCAGTCATGGTGTCTGATGACATGGTGTCTTGTAGCTTCACTGTTTGCTTGCCCCGTGGTTGCCTGATACATTCGACACCTTCTTTTTTCCGATTCCCCTCAACCCTTTTCTCTGCCCCCTTATCTCTGCCCCCTTTCCTCGCCTCAATCAGGTACTGCCCGCAGTGCAAGGAGCACAGGCAGGCAACCAAGAAGCTTGACCTGTGGCGACTGCCAGAGATCCTCGTGGTGCATCTGAAGCGCTTCTCCTACAGCCGCTACTTCAAGAACAAGCTCGACACGCTCGTCACCTTCCCCATCCATGACTTTGACCTCTCGCCGTACCTGCCACCCTGCAATGCTGAAGGAGGTGGCAATGTGTATGAGCTGTATGCGATCAGCAACCATTACGGTGGCATGGGTGGAGGGCATTATACTGCATATGTGCAGGTGAGTTGGGAGACTCAGCTGATGGGTTTCATTTGAATACATTTAGTTGTGTCAGGCGACAATCCGCATCCTTCCACATGCTCTGGGTTTCATCAGTTCCATTCCAGTGTGCTCGATCTTTCTCCTTGCTTCAACTATGAATGCAGTTGGGCAACGAGCGCCAATGGCACACCTTCGATGACAGCTTTGTTTCTCCCGCAAACGAGTCACAAATTGAGACACCTGCGGCTTACGTGCTCTTCTACCGGAGAGTTGGGAGCTCACACCACTATGCAGCTTCCCAGAACGAAGCAACAGGCGATGAGCAAAATAACTCCACAGCTGAGGCCACTGACATGGACCGTGACTAGGTTGTTTTGATATACGCTGGAATGACACTGCTTGATTAACGATTCTAAAGCTTAATTTGTGTGTCTACTGTTAGCTTCAAATACCATGCTGAGCTAACAGAAATGCCCTGCAACAAAGCAGTGCAGAAACTTATCTTAGCGGATGCGTACAGAGACAAACCTCGTTCCTATATAGTTATCAATATACATCATAGATTTTCTGGTAGCTCAATGATTATTGATACTGCTTTCCACTCGTATGAGTTAATATTAAACACATTCACCTCGGGTTCTTACAGCATGTATTGATTGTACAGCAGGTACAGCACGATCATTAAACTAGACTATGTAAAGAGGTGAACAAAAGAACCAAAACGAGAGAGAATGTGTCGCGAAGGCTAACTACGTGTGAAGTGGAATGGTCAGATGAATTATCACTCGTCAGCAGACTTCTCTTCCTTCTTCTCCTCAGCTGCAAATTCATAAGAGACAAATTAACTTCTTGTTCTGGGTAGAGGAGATTGTTCTATCAAATCAACGCTTTACTCACCAGACTCGTCCTTGGCGGCGGCTTCGTCCTGGAGATCAGATGTCCAGAGTGTCAAATTGTCACGAAGAAGCTGCATGATGAGGGTGCTATCCTTGTAGGACTCCTCGCTCAGAGTGTCAAGCTCGGCAATAGCCTCGTCGAAGGCTTGCTTGGCCAGTTGGCAGGCCCTGTAAATGGAAAAACAGTGTTAGAAGCAAACCCTCAAGGGAAATGTCTGCACAATGGATAAGTACGTACTTCTCTGGTGAGTTCAAAATCTCGTAGTAGAACACAGAGAAGTTAAGGGCAAGACCAAGGCGGATGGGGTGGGTTGGTGCAAGATCGACGGTCGCGACCTCGGAAGCTGACTGGTACGCCTTCAACGACTGCTCAGCGGCCTCCTTCCTGTCAGCGCCAGTCTTGAACTCTGCGAGGTAGCGGTAGTAGTCACCCTTCCTGAAAACAGAAAAGACAAGCTTAGAACCAATAACTGGATACAACCCTATTGCGCATGCAAAACAATGAACACACATTTTGTAGTAGAAAACCTTCGACTCCCCAGTGCCAGATGAGGGGATCAAATTGCTGTCAATGATGTTGAGGATGTCTTGGCATATATCGGAGAGCTCCGCCTCAATCTTCGACCTGTACTCCTTGATCCTCGCCACATTCTGCTCGTTGCCCTTGTTCTCCTCCTGAATGTAGGGGACAAAAAAGGAACGGTAAGGAAAACGAATACAGAATCCTAGTGACTTAAGAATGTAAATCACGAGAGAAGGATTTGCTATATGATTAACATATCGGACCTTCTGCTCGATAGAAGACATGATTCTCCATGAAGCCCTGCGAGCACCAATGACGTTCTTGTAGCCGACGGAGAGGAGGTTGCGCTCCTCAACGGACAGCTCGACGTCGAGCTTGGCAACATCCTTCATGGATGAAACCATCTCTGAAGTTGACAACGGCAGGCGTCATGAAAATAGAAAAAAAAAAAAACTACAGATCTGTGGTCGCACAAAACGTGGAAAAAAAACCAAACCATTAATTCGAACCAAGTGTGCTCAGCTCCTGCATTATCTCACCATCGTAGCGCTCGGCTTGCTCCGCGAGCTTGGCAAGGTAGACGTGGTTCTCGCGTTCCTTCTCCATTTTTATGAAGTAATAACTGTGAGGTAGACAGAGAGATACTATTAAGGAAGAATTGCCAGAACCTAGAACTTTGTGGGAGACAACTGGGAGACAACAGCAGCTAATGTAGAGAGCCTCTGAACCTGGCCTGACTTGTTACACACCTCGGATGTTGGAGGAGGACTGGGCAGTGGAGAAACAGGTGAGCGACAAAATGAAAGCTGAGTCAGGTCCTGAAACCTTCATAAAGGATGGATACTTCAGGAACCTTGATCTCTCAATCACGACAATCAGCCGACGCCACGTGGATCTAGGTTAGGGAGCAGCGAGCCTCCTTCGGAGCTTAGGTCACCTGCCAGCGGAGCTTAGGCCCCAGATTACCGCTCTACTGAACGGTTCGGATGGAGTGAAATCCTTGGATCCATGACAAAGCTGCTATATCGGCGGGTGACCTTGGGAACCGAACCTCCGCTATCATTGCCACGGAATTTGTACACCGCGTACTTCTACCGTATATGATAAAGCGGTGCAACTGATTCTTCGAATAATTCGAGTTTTTTCTGCCTCCACCCTGCCCTACAGCAAATTTGAAGACCTTCGACAAAAAAGCAACTTACAAACGGCTCACTGAACATGGTGTATGTTACTTTCATCCTTGTGATTTCTCTTTCAGCCATGCCAGCACATCCTTCCATACCTCCTCTCTCTCTGGCTCTGGTTCGCCTTGCAGCAGCTGGTGCCAGGCTGATGGATATATATGGAGCGTCTTATCTTTACTCGGAGCCTTCTCATGCAAGTCTCTGGACTGGTCTGGATCTGTTACACCATCTGATCCACCATGCATGATGAGGAATGGCAAATGCAGGTTTGGAATGGATGCTGTAACAGCATCGGCGAAACGCAGGAGCTCGAAGGCAACGCCAAGGCGTGGGTTACCACTGTAGCGGCGTGGGTTCTTAAGAGCAACTTCAAGTTTTGCAGGATCTCGGCACGAGAGGCTGGATAGTCCATGGGAGAGGAGGGATGGAGAAAGAAAAGTCGGAGCGAAGTTGAAGATGTGAAATATGTTCAAGGGAGGAGTAGTGCAAGAGAGTGATGCCCAGAATTCTGTTAAGACCGAAAAACAGGAAGATAATTGCCAGAACAACACAGCACATGGTCTCACCGAATCAGGTCTCCCTTGGTGGCCACAAAGGCACTGTCAGGAATGATCATTGCAAGGACTCGAAGAACCTGCAGTGCAGCCCAGCTAGGCTGCAGCTCCTCCTTGATGCGCAGCATGGGAGACACCATGACCAGACCAGTCCAGCTGTCAGGATCGCGCCTGAGAACAGAAAAAGAAACACACCTCATAAGAAGGCGTACAAAACAAACAGGACATTATACTGAAAAGAATGGAAGGAACTGAGCAGCTGTTGACCGGTCTGAAGCCTGACACTGGCAGCATGAAAGGGAGAAAGGAACGAATGGGATGGTCGGACCGACAGAAAAATCAAGCGAGGGTGCTGCTGGCTCCTTACAGTGCGACGGTCATGGCGATGGCGCCTCCCAGCGACTCCCCGTACACGAAGGACGGCAGCCCTGCGAAGTCAGGCTTCGCCTTCACAGATGAGAAGTAGGCGGAGCAGTCGTCCACCAGTTGCTCCGCGGACCTGAACGAGCATCTCAGACCGTCCGATTTGCCGTGGCCCTCAAAGTCGATGCCAAACACTGCGAAACCCTCCGAGGCGAATCGAACGGCGGTGAGCTGTGAGAATTGGAGGAGAGGAAAGATGAGGAAAAGTGAAGGTAACTGGTCGTGACGGGACGGTCGGACTCAGGTAATAAATTGTGAATATTAACTGGAGAGGGGATCTCTTGCCTGCATCAGCCAATTGCAGCAGTTGGCGTAGCCATGGCAGAAAAAGAGGAGGGCCGACGGCGTGCGATCAGCTGAACAACGAGACGGTTCGAAGGACTCAGATTATGGGACAGAATTGGAAATGGCAGAAGGAAGAGTTCTGATCAGGTAACGAGAACAGGAACGGGATGAGGAATATGAAACGGTTGGTGGTAGCTCGCATACAGAGTTACTGATCTGAATTCAGTCGAGCCTAACGGTTGTGATCCTCACCAGGCAGCCATGACTGCGTGTAGAGGCGGATATTTCTCGCATTCGTGATGTATTCAGCGGAGTGGACCACTTTATTCTGCTCGTAATAGGCCGCTGCGCTCGTTCCGAAGAGGATCCTGTCGAGTTCCTCCTCAGTAGCTTCCAGTGGCTGCGCAGTAGCCATGATTGCGAACTGACGGGAGTTTTTGTGACTGGAGACTGGTAGTAGCATAATCAGGTTTTGTCAACCATTTTGAACTTCGCATGGGGATGGACGGTAGCTCAGATGTTAGCGCGCTCGCTTAGCATGCTAGAGGTGGTATGGGGAGTTGTTTCTGACAAAAAATCTTACAGTGAATTTGAGGCACTCTAAAACCATGACATAAAAACAACGTACATATGGCCCACTGAACTTGTTTATTAATGTATATTTCATCCTCCTGATTTCTCTTTCAGCCATTCCAGCACATCCTTCCACACCTCTTCTCTCTCTGGCTCTGGTTCACCTTGCAGCAGCTGGTGCCAAGCTGATGGGTATATATGGAGCGTCTTATCTTTACTCGGAGCCTTCTCATGCAAGTCTCTGGACTGGTCTGGATCTGTTACACCATCTGATCCCCCATGCATGACGAGGAATGGCAAATGCAGGTTTGGAATGGAGGCTGTAACAGCATCGGCGAATCGCAGGAGCTCAAAGGCAACACCAAAGCGTGGTTTACCACTGTAGCGGCGTGGGTTCTTGAGAGCAACTTCAAGTTTTGCAGGATCTCGGAATGAGAGACTGGATAGCCCATGGGACAGAAACAAGAGAGGTGGAAGGGGGGGGACAATGCAGAAGGTGCGAAGTATGGTCCAAGAAAATGATGGCCAGACAGCGTAATAAGCTAAGGCAGGAAAGGAATTTGCCAGAGAAACAGCACATAGTCTAACCGGATCAAGTCACCCTTCGTGGGCACAAGGGCACTGTCAGGAATGATCGTAGCAAGGACTCGAAGAGCCTGCAGTGCTGCCCAGCTGGGCTGCAGCTCTTCCTTTATACGCAGCATGGGAGACACCACGACCAGCCCAGTCCAGCTATCAGGATCACGCCTGAGAAAACAGAACCAACATTGAAAAACACAATGTGCGGAGGCTCACAACACAGTTAAGAAAAGATGCAACCTACTCATGGGCATGATGTTGACTGATATAGAAACTGTCATTTGAACAATAAACGGAACGACTCGGTGGTTCACATGACACATGACCAGGAGGAGATGTTGCTGGCTTCTTACAGTGCCACGGTCATGGCGATTGCGCCTCCCAGCGACTCCCCGTACACGAACGACGGAAGCCCTGAACATTCAGCCTTCATCGCGGAAAAGGCAAGTGCCAAAAAAAACTTTAAAATGGCTCTTTCGTAACTTAGCAGTTGCATTCGCCGCGCAAAAAAAAAGTCTGACTCGAAAACAGTGGTAGCGTCAGTAACTTGCGAAGTAACTTCCCCGTCACATTCCCAACACAAACTGTACACTTCGGTGCAAGTGTGAGGTATACGGTAAAGCAACTAGGGGGGCGGAAAACGTCACCCTTGAGTGACCTACGCGAAAGTGTTACGACAGCGCCACGTGGCATACGACGTACTTTAGATGAAACTGAAACATGCTGACGTGGCTGTCATCGTACTCCAACGACAGCCGTCGGATCAGATTAAAATCAACGGACACGAGCGCGTCTTATGGACCAATCAGAGAGCATTTTTTGTGTGCGGTAACGACCTCCTATTGGCTGGCGATTATATCATTATTATTAGCCATGGATTCAATTCAAGCTCTGTTTTTGTTGGGTTTCATAATTTAACGTTTATAACTTCTCCCGCTAATATAAAAGGGTCTGCATACAAAATACCAATATGCCCCATACAACTACAGTTACTATTCCTTCAGCACAGCAAAAAACCAGGATGTAACATTTGGTGCTGCCATCTTGATATTGCCTGCTTGGAAAAGTAGCAAGTTAAAGCTTGTGAAACATGCAAATCAAGTATGCATTTCCACTCACCGATTACTTCCATTGGGGTTAGAAGTACGCAGTATTGGCAAAAAAGAACACAGCATGCATTTCTGGTTGACGATAAGCCTGCAACAACAGATACGCCCTGCAAAACAAGCAAACACAACTTGCAGTTACGACTCCTGAGGGATTAGGGATAGCAGATTGTGCGAGACACCAACAGACAAATATTTAGCCTACCGAGAACACTACAAACAGGAAATGAACATGACGAGGAGTTGCAAACACAAAACATATAGCCGGAAACTCAATACTCCATCGCTAAATGCGGGCATGCTTACCGCGAGAAGGCGGACATCCGCCGAAATGAAAACCGTCAACCTGGTTTGATGAAAACCGTCAACCTGGTGCAGCCTTAGTTGCAACAGATGGCTGTTGAGAAAGCCTGCAAGGAGGTATGACCTAGGTTTTGAACATCAGTGAAGCAACGGAAAAAAAAGTGGTTGTAATAACATAGGTGATGGTTCCACGTCGCGATATGCACCCAAACGGAGTCACTGTTCCGCGCCGTCGAGTACATAAAAGCTGCCACAACACAGTGTGGGATGTGGGGTTAACAGTAGCGTGCCGCAAAACTGACAGCAGATGCACAATAATGCAAACCGGTTGCCTCGCACTCGAGTAGTGAGATGCCGCACAGTTGCCGCAACGGAGTAAAGGAAGTAGATGCAATCGTAGGAAACAACACAAATATGTTACCAGTGATATTAGAACCTTACGACTTGTAAAAGTAGCTGCTGAATGGCGCGTAATCATCAGTACATGTGCGCATGTCCACCGCGAAAACGCTTATAGTCGTCGACCTGGAAAGGGGAATGGTAGGTTAAAAGGAAGGGGGGGAATCCAGAATAAGCGACGCTATCTGCGCGAATGTCTTCCGCAGCCAGAAAACAGCTCGATGAGTTGCAATGTGGAATGAGAGGGGGTGGGTGGGAGAGGGATGGGGAGGGGAAAAGAGATTAATAGTGGGAATAAATCAGACTAGAAAAACGCCAAGCGGACGGAAAAGTGAAAGCAACACGAGAGATCACTTGGAAACATGTCGGTTGCGAATCAATAAAATAAGGACATTGAAGTCCTCGCTGGACAGATCTAAGTTGCTCGTCTAAGGAACTTCAAAGGAAAATGAGAGCGGAATGAGTGGTTGCGTGTTGCCATTTGTACGAGAGGGATAGAGGCGTGGGGTTTGTTGGGGGAGATATGTCATCTAGGAAAAGCTGGGTTGGGTTGTGCATATTGGGTTGACGTTTTCTGGTTTGGTTGGATGAGCTGACGGGTACAGAATGGACGGTGTGGATAGGTTGAGAAATGACAGCAACAACCATGATTGGTTGTTAAATATTTCCCAGAATGACACGTCACACTTCCAAAGGAATCAGCAAGCGAGTTTGTTTCGGGTTGGGTGGTTCTGGCTCTGAGTATCTGGTTTCCGAAAGCTTGGTATCCAGGTTTGCAACCTCGTTAAATTTCGTCTTATTGTACGGTTTTCGCGAATCTTGTTGTTACACCCGACAATTGATGTAACTTTTCCTAACCGCTAGTTATCGCTTTCGACCGTGCGAAACCCTATGCCCGACGTTGAAGTCACTTTCGATTGACTTTTTGGCGCCAGTGTTCAGGTACGCCAACGATGTACGGAAAGTTGCGATTTGGGGTCGTCGTTTTTTGGACACTTCGCGCAAGAAAACCGCAATCTTTTCGCAGAAAAACCTTCGGACCCCCAAAATCGCAATTTTCCTTTTCCGCGATGTTCGCCTTGACGGACGCGAAGAAGGCGCAGCAGTCGTCCACCAGATGCTCTACGGACCTGAACGAGCATCGCAGACCGTCCGATTTGCCATGACCCTCGTAGTCGACGCCAAACACTGCGAAGCCCTCTGAGGCGAATCGAGCGGCTGTGAGCTGCGAGAATCGCAGGAGAGGTGGAATGAGGCGGAAATGAGAATAGCTGGTCGTGACAGGTGAGCGTCGGATTCAGGATATGAAATGTGAAAAACAACCGGAGACGGGGTGCCTTGCCTGCATCATCCAACTGCAGCTGCTGGCGTAGCCGTGGCAGAAGAAGAGGAGGGCCAACGGCTTACGATTGGCTGAACGACGAGAAGGTTCAGAGGACGCATATCATGAGAAAGAATTGGGAATGGCAGCAGGAAGTGTTTCGATCACGCACGGAGCAAACGGGAGCGGGACGACGATAATCCAACAGCTGAGAGGGAAGTGAGAAAGACTGGACGTGCTAGCTCGCATGCAGAGCTACTTGCTGATTCTCGAATTCAGTCGAGCCTAACGTTTGTAATCCTCACCAGGCAACCATGACTGCGTGTAGCAGCGGATGTTCCTCGAATTCGTGATATATTCAGAGGAATGATTCACTTTATTCCGCTCGTAATAAGCCGCTGCGCTCGTTCCGAAGAGAATCATGTCGGGTTCCTCCTCACTGGCTTGCAGCGGCTGCGCAGTAGCCATGACTGAGAAAAAAAGCCTAAGTTTACCCTGCCGACATGGGGATGTAGCTCAGATGGTAGAGCGCTCGCTTAGCATGCGAGAGGTATGGGGATAGCTACCCCACTTCTCCACGTTTGTGTGGATACCTCAGTTGGGAGAGCGTTCATCCTGAAGATCTGAAGGTCGCGTGTTCCATCCACGCTCACCGCACAGTTTTGTATCTTCCGACTCGGAGGAGTCCGAATTCTCTCTCACCACCACTTGAGTTATTGTGGCTGTCTTCTCACTCTGGCACTTCTGATGGACAATCTCTCGGTGTGGTAGCATCAACCCAATTCATCACCACATGCAGTGGCAATTATCACAACATCGTACCTAGGTTGTAAGCAGGGCCCTAGATATCAGACTTTAGAGTCTGAATCAGAGTCCGTTCAGACTTTTTTTTGGTACCTAGTCTGCACTCTAAGAATTTTTTTTGGGGCCCTGTCTGATGTTTCAGAGTTTTTTTAACATACTTGTCTGTAATTTCAGACTATTTTTAGTAGTGTAGGCTGTGCCTCAGACTTGTATCGAGGGTGCATTCTGAATCCGATAATACAGGGGCAGGGTCCAGCCTGGCGGCGTGGAGGAGTAACCCCGTCAATCACGGGCGGGAACCCACGATTTCGCCAGCGCGACAACGCACAGTTGCGTTGGTACAGCGTTGCTGTAATCCCACCCAATTCTGACCAATCGCGGCTGCGCCGCAGGCAGTGTTGGCAAGATTCCTTGCCAACACATAGCTCGCCACGCACTGCACCTTCGCTGTACACCACGACCATCCACCACACCCCGCCTTCAATGTTGCCAGCGCATAGCTCGCAGCGCGCTGCCACTCTCACGTCACCACGTCCATCCACCCCACCCCACCTTCCCAGTTGCCAACGCAGGGCTCGCACCGCGCTGCTTCTCTCACGTGACTCCATCCATCAACCCCAATCACCCCACCTTCCAAGGATTCACGCCCAGGTGCAGTGCATGCAATGACCTTCTGGTCCTATTACACGAGGGTTTCTCATCTTCTTCTTGGTCACCGTTCTTGCAGTCTCTCTCATGGCCCGCTCCATTTGCCTGGACTCAAACTAGTGTAGGAGCCCTTGTTTCAGGCTCCCACCTCCTAGCTCGCTACACCTCTGCTCGGCAGGCTCAATGGCAGCTACAGAGGCTGTCGCGGATGGGCCCGACGACGAGGATGATGCAGTCGGTCGCCCAGTATCCGGCCCAGTATCCGACCCTCTCACCGGTCTAGATTTTCTTAGGTCTGTCCTACCGAAGCACAATCCACCTCCAACGCCACCGTCGCAACCTAGCTCGAGCCGCCCACCTATTCCCAGAGACACCACACCTCTGCACGAGGCCGTCACTGAACCAGCGACCGCTGCTCAACAGGCGGTGCCCCATGAGGCGTCTGTTGGTGCACCTTCTCGTCCCGCGCCACCGTCGAAGCTGCGGTACCGGCAGTCCACCCTTGGTTGGGCCACTCCGCCTCCTCCATCGACCGTTGTGACTCCTGCGAGCGACGATTCTCCCATGTAGGACAGCTCCATGCCCACGCAGGGCAGCCCGAGGCCCACGCAGGACAGCTCAAATCCCAAATCCGATAATCCTGAGTTGAAATACGAGGAAGCGCATGAGAGATTCAAATCGAAGTGGTCCACCGATTACAGTTGGCTTGTTCTAACTAAGACCTCTTCTGGTGCCCCTTCTTTCAAGTGCAGTATTTGCCTGGAGTTTGCGGGATTGAATGGCAAGTGTGGGCGGCGTACCGAGGGAGCTACAGACGTGCAGACACAGTCCTTCAAGAAGCACGAAGGGACG